ATTCCGAACCCCCTCCAGGGCTGGTTCAAGCAAATCTGTCTCAGGATCGGCTCCGCTGGCATACACCACGGGAGATGCCACGTGGAAGACATACGTGCATCCTCGGACCGCCGCGTCGAACGAATGCGGTTGCCGCAAATCCGCTTCGAAGAGGGTAAGGCACCCTCTTCCTTTTTCACCATCCCCTACTCCTTCGTCGCATGAACCCCGACTGTCTTCTTTCCTGTGTCTTCCCACCCTTTCCCCTTGTCCTCCGCCACCTCCTCCTCCCCTCCCTCTGCCCAATTTGGCCAATGGCCCGTACTTTTCCTCTCGTTCCTCCTCGGTCAGTTTGTGGAGCTTGCGCACGGTCCCATGCACGTTGTATCCCCGTTCAAGCAGCTGTTTCACCAGCTCGGAGGCCACGTAGCCGTTACACCCCGTGACGCACACCGTGGTGGGGGGAAAGGATGAAGGGGAGGAGGAGGATGGCGGGGCGGTCGAGGTAGGTGGAGAGGAGGAGGCAAAGGCGGTTGAACAGGACAGAAGGGAGGATAAGAAAAGGAGAGTGAAAAGAGACTTTGAGGAGGAGGAGGAGGAGGAGGAGAAGGAGGAGGAAGGAGTAGGAGAGTTCTGCATGGGGTTGTTCCGGCGATAGAGACGAAGAAATTGGACGGCCTTCATTGACTCGAAATGGCCTTGAATTCACTTTGAGAATGCACAAGGCATCAAAAAGACAAACAGAACCAGGAGCTCTGATTTTCAACTATATAGGGGAAATCAACAAGTAGCCGAAGCAAGGGGGGAGGAGGTTGAAGGTCGGTGCGGTGGAAGGCCGCGTCGGGCTCTGTCAACGTGTCAAGCAGGCACAACCGGAAGTAAAGGCACTTGTGCGTGCTGTAGATGTCTACGGGTGCGAAGGAGGAAGAAACATGAAGTGCTCGGTGAATTGCCACAAGTGGGGGAATGAAGCGGAGGAGGGGAAGCAGAAGCCGGATGCAAGGGGGAAGGGAGGGAAAGAGGAAAGGTCAAACAGACAAGAGTCCTCGACAACGATCATTCCCCACTACCGATAGCAACGACACACTACCACACGTCATATGTGCTGCTTTTACATGCATCACTACCCCGGCGAGCGGCTGTTGGTGTCACGGGTGTCATGCCTGCCGCCTCCCTTCCCCCTCGCTGCCTCCTCATCAAACCCCTCACCGGCCCCCCAGACCTCTCAAAGGACCAATATAGGCCACATGCATGGCATTTCTCACGCATAACCCGCTCCAATCTGTGCTCATCCCTCACTCAGGCACCACACGCCTCCTTTTGGCGGCACTGAATCCCCTTAAAAGTGACTTGGCGGTCGAGTTCGCTGAAGAAGAGGGAGCGGACGCATGATACCAATTCCATGCGCAGATCAATTTGAATGTCTGTTTGTTGCGAAGGGTACAGACTTCTCGCTGCCTTCGCCCGGCTTACGTGGCCTGCTCTTCATTGAGATGGCGGTCGAGATTCTGACCTTTGCGCGGTACTTCTTTTTTGGTGTCTTGATTGTCGCCATGGTTGAAGGCGTTAGGGCGAGGTAGCGGGAAAGGCTTATGCATTGCCCCCCTAGCCAAGGGTGAGCCCATTTCCCTGCATGCAGAGGATGGTTTTCACACTCTAGCCATCCAAAGCCTTGTTACCTTCTTGTTGCTGCCCATGTCCTGAAGACTCTGCCGCCCGTGGCGGCTTTGCTTGTTTTGTGCCAGCAAGGGAACGACCCGAGGCGCCCGCCAGCCTGTAAATAGGAGAGACATGACCATACTGCTCCACTGATTGGTTCCACGCTGTTCAAAAATGCGTAAGGGTCATTTTGAAAAGGTGCCCGTGGGTTGTGTGCCTTGATGGGGCTGAGGCACCCGTGGTCAGAGGCGGAGGTCGAAGGACAGGAGGGGATACGCGACCAGGACCTTGGCAAGGCCTCACCGCGACGACAAATCATGAGGAAGGGAATGACGACGACGACCTCCTTCTTCCCTCCCTCTTCCTTTCTTTCCCCCCAGACAGGTATGCCGGTCCTCTACGGCGGGCGCCAGCCCGGGCAGGAGACGGCCCCCTGGCACCTGGAAACCCAGTTCGTCGACCGCAACGTGTACGTGAACCGGAAGGAGAAGCCGGATCCTCGGGGGGACGATTTAATGGAGTGCGAATGCCGGTACCAGGCCGCGGTGGCGCAGGCCCGGAAGGAAGGCGGGGGAGAAG